AGACAAGTTCAGTCGAGGTGATGGATTCTGCGGCAAAAACCGACGAAAAATGAGCAGCAAAAAGCTCACATTTCTCCCCGCCTATCGACGATTCAACGTCATTGAAAAAAAACGCTTGCAGGCATTGTTGAATTTTTCCTCTTCGAGTTTACATAGCTCCAAAAGCTCTTGGGGTTTCGCCTTAAATTAGTTTGCACTCGTAAAACGTACGATTTGTAGAGCGAAGAGTTTAGATTACGGCACTCGTTACACGCCAAGTGAAAACTACGCTTATTTGCCAGGGAACGGTATCGCCGAAGTCTACGTTGCGAAGCATTTCTTTTTCGTTTTAGTTTTGGTAGCAAAGCGGTGCTCCACGCAGGAGAAACAGCAGGCCGACGAATCGGTACGTTTGTATCCATCCAATTATTTAGCACAGCACACAACGTTTCAGCCATTTCATCAGCATTCAGTCCATCGAAAAAAAGGTCCCAGTCAGTGACGGAAAGGAAGTCCATTAGAACATCGAAATCAATCTTGCTATAGTCTAACGCAAGCTCATCACTCCCATTCAGCAGCAGTGCACCGTCATCAACTAGAGATGGTAAGCAGACGACTAGTGGCGGATGATGAAGATCAACTGGCAAGAGTGGTGAAACAGATCTCGAGATTTCCACAGGAAAGTCCGTATGGCAAAAGAACAAATCCAGGATGTTAATTAAAAATGAACATTGAACATTGATCTGAACAAGACGGCACCGTCACGAGGTCCAAAGGCTCATCCCGTGCGGAACCGTCCTGACAGCCGGAAGAAAACTCACAAACAGAAAATGACAAAAGGAACTAACTAAACACAATGGTATAGCTTGGCTTCCCTAAGGAAAACCAAGAGGGCGTCAGCAGCGGGTGCGTTGTCTCCGAGGAGGTTCCGGATGCTGGAGGTAATCCCGTAGGCCTCCCTGAAGCAGTGGAACTCTGGGCAGACGCAGAGGATGTGCTCGACGGTCGCTGGAACTCCGCAAATCACGCAGCTTTTCTTGAAGGGTCCTCCGCCGAAATTGTGGCTTAGTCTACTGTGTCCGGTTCGGAGCCTGGATAACACTTTTTGATCCGGTTGATTCCGGAGGTCCGTCCATGCCTCCGTGCTTCCTTTAATCTTCCGGATAAAAGGTCCCCAGGTGCCGAACCACTGTTCGTTCCATGCCTTTCGAGTTGTGGATTTGATCCATCGCTTGATGTCCTGCAACGGCACCTTGTCAGTGAACCTGGGACCGGATGGTCCAGATCCAGCGAGGTGATCCGCTGCATCGTTGCCTGGTATCCCACAGTGTCCAGGTATCCACGTATCTACAGTGCTGCTCGGGGCGAACTTCAATGTGGCCTGGATCCACGGATGTGAAGGAGCTGCCGAACGGAGTTCCTGTATGGCGCTGTGGGAATCCGTCAGGATGAGGATAGGTTGAATGGCAGGTACTGTGGCTGCATGAAAGATTAGCAGTCATTCCTTCAGTCAAAAAAATGAGGATCTGAAATTGTTGGTGTAATTAAACCATCTACTCTAAAATGACAAATCACGAAGAACCACCTTCAACTTGGGTTTGACCACCCACCTCACGAGCCTTGCCGCAGGAATCCGTTTATTCACATGGGCAAAGGTATCGGGAAATGCTAAACTGCAGCTGTTAATGTGGCTTCTGAAGATTAAGTACTGGAGTTTTATCGAGTTATTTGTTTAATTTGCTGCACTTTTAAATCAGCATTCCTGAGGAATTTGTTGTTCAAAACCAGGGTAAACAGAACGAAAATGTATAAAGTCTTTGGCAAAACACGGTAAGTAAAATTTCTGTGGGTTTACTCAAAAGTGAGTAAGCATTAATTTAACATAATCAGTGTAAAAGATACCCAGATACAAAGGGTAATCAACTCTGCACACTGTGCTGAAGCATAGTATGTAACACTGATCGGCACGTAGGGCACACGTTGACAAGTATTGTTGAGTTGTGCCAACCGTTCTCATTACATTGCCTTCGCGGTCCAGCATCGCCAAGTTTCGGGAGAGTGTCATCACGTCACTTGATCCCACAATTGGAAAATTTGTGTCGTCTTCAGGATGCGGATTCGGACGGCCTTAAGAAATATCAAAGACAAAAATTGTTTGAATTGAACTCGTAGTTCTAAAGCAATATAGTACTTACATCAGTATTAAAAAAAAAAATCTGAGCATTTTCCCACCGAGAAATCGATGTAATCATAAACGAGCACAAAAGTGATTATAAATTCAGGGTTGCCAAACTCATGGGATATTGACGCCTCGATTGACAGATTTCGGTTCATTTGGCACAGCGTAGGCACAGCTTTCAGCACAGTTAAAGTACTCGTCACAGATTAAGGTATGCAGAGTTGAATACCCTTTGCTCGGATTGGTAAACCAATGTTCTCAGTTTTTGACATTTTGCATAGAAATACGAATTTAAGTAAAAGTTACTCACTTTTGATTAAAAAATGAACGAGCATGTAACGTCAGAAAAGACAACCAAGCTGCGTTTTATTACAGTCGAGGGGTTACATTAATAATCAAAACTTTGAAGCATCCCTCGTAATGTTTACAAAATACATTAGTTACCTTTTCTGACGCAAATCGTGTCACGGGAAAAAAAATAAAAGAGTGAGCTATATTGTTAGTGTACTATATTTGGCTCTAACCCTATTCAGTGTTAAAACAAAAACACTCCTAAATTTGAATTTTCAAAAGTTACTTACTTCAGAAAAATTCGTCAAAAGTAGGATCGAGCTTTTTTTTATTTGAAAAAAAAAACAGTTTTTCAAGATCTCAACATTTTTTTGAACTTAATTGCTATGATGAACGTGTTGGAAATTTAACTACTCCAGCGATAGAAAAATATTTGTGTTGGGATTGCCGTGACCTTTCCGCAACTTTTCACTCAGCCACGAAAAGTCTTCCGGTAAAACACTTCTGGACGTATTCTTCTGTCAATGTCTCTTGAATCTCAGACATTGACGGAAGAATACGTTCAGAAGTGTTTTACCGGAAGACTTTTCGTGGCTGAGTGAAAAGTGGCGGAAAGGTCCCGACAGGGATATCCTGGTAAATTCGTTAAATAGTTATCAATATATTTCATCGCTTCAATGAAAACTGAACTTCATTATATCATAGAGGTAACTCTAAGACTAGAAGGTCGCGAAGAAACGTGCTCAACTTTTTGGCTCAGCTCTGGTACTCTCTTCGGTCCCAAGCAAATCGATTCACCCCTCGAAACATAGGAAAATCCACTAACCCCTCATTTTATCTGTCAAACTTTCATAGCGAATCAAAACAAACATTGTGTGGTACTAAAATTTTGACTAGAATGGGGTACGTTAATCGTTTGCTTGGGACCAATAGGCTAGTCAAGTAGTGAGCCAATTTAAAATCGTTAGTTTCGTATTGATTGTTGATTATATCGAACTGGCTAAGCATTTGTAAGAAGATATGGAAGAAGACAAAATGATACCTTACAATTGAAAATTAATTCGTGTACCAAAAATTTGAATTCGCAATTCGTTGTACCTATGCTCAAAAAAGGAGGCTTCACAATGAAACCATTATTTTCAAAACATCAGTAGGGGGAATACAAATTATACACTTTGGCCACCCGCGCGTCCGTTCTCTCTCCGCACACTTACCCACTACAGAGCTTTCTGTTACTACTCCGATGATGGTTGCTGCGGCGATCACTCGCACAATGATTAACCACAACAATAAACGAGTCTATACCTACCAACAGAAGCAGCAGCGAAAACCGGGACGTGATGGTCGTGAAATTCCACCGCGTAGCACCGCATTAGTCGACGATCGCCGTCGTCCAAAAACAGGTGCGATGACTCATCATTGCAACGTAACGTGCTTGACTACCGACTGACTTGTGTTACTACCAGAGCCTACTATCTAGAATATGACTTACAAAAAAGCATAGTTTCTGTTACGTATGCGCACAGCCTGCTATTTAGGTACCGCTCGGTTGATGGATAGTTCCAGTTTGTTTACGTTTTTGATTTCCGTTCTTGACCTCCGGGCTATGGAAACCCGAATTGTAGGTTTTCGATTGGGAAATAAATGACAATGCCTGGCTATCAGTTTGATTCAATTCCACAAAAGATACGGCTAGCGGTGGTCGTAGTTTTTCGTTGCATGGTCACCGGATGGTGGTAATCAAAACTGAATTCAACAAAATTGTAACCACTGCCGCCGTCGTCCGTCAGTGTAGGAGATAAACGATGCGAAAAGAATTTATATCCCAACGTTAACAGTTGAGAACTCGTGTGTATGACGTCGTTGTTTTGATGGTTGATGAAGTCAAAATGATAAGGCAGTTTTTTCACCGATCATTAGTCATCTAATTCAGAGTCACGTGTTCGACCTTTCAAAGCCACCAAGCGTCTCCATCAGAGTGAACGGATCTTGATCGAAAAGAAAACATTTCGGTGCCAACATTTCATTAGGGCGAAACTGTTTTTGTAAACACACTCGATTTCTCGCAAATAAAAGCTCACCCCTGCAAATTAACCATGGTAGAGATCAAGTTGATGTCGCTACTTTGCATGTTTCAGCATTTATTCGCGAGAAATGGACGGTTAGTGTAAATGTTTACAAACGCAGACAAAGAAGCTCGAAATTCCAGATGCCTGCCTGCTTCGACTGAAGTTGGCAAAATCCCTCGGAAACGTCAATTTAGCAGAAATTAGCACTTTTTCTATTGTGTTAATGTGCGTCTACAATCTACACCGAAGGCACGTCAAGTGCGTAATCCACTTGAGTAAGCCCGGCAGCTCTACATCTTGCCGTCATCGCCGCCACCGGCCGGCCGTCGTCTGATGACCCAGGTTCAGATCGTATGTGTTTACGTTCGTGGCTGTACAGAAACTAGTGCAAACATTTCGCGTGACCACCGACACACCGCCTCTCGGAGATCGATTTTGATGCAAAGGAGGATATTTAATTTCTTGTTTTTCGTTATTTTTAGTTTCGATTGAGTCAAGTGGATACAATCACAAGATGATGCACACTAATTGAGGATAAGAAAACGGAAAGTAAGAAAATCACCGCAAATTGGTTCAAGATATCGCGCAGTGAGAGGCGCGTGCTGCACAAGTGCAATTTTCGTGTTTATCGGTGCGCTGCGGTCAAGAGGACGAGAATAATCGAAAATCGGTGTCTGTGTTTGTGTGAAGAAGAGCAACGGAAAGGATCTTATCGAAGCAGGCGAGAAAATGTGGCGATTTCAAGTGCATCAAGCAGGCGTTGCAGCGTCGGGTCTGCTGCTCCTGTCGGTGTTATTGATCAGTGTAGTTAGCTGGACAGACGCGACGGCCCTTGAAGGCAGCCCGTACAACGGGCGTCTCTATCAACAACGAACCGCCTACAATGGGAACCGCATGGTTTTCCCGAACGAAAAGGAGCGATACAATGTAATCAGCAAGGACGTGAAGCGCGAAGTGGATGAGGACGACGGTTGCTGCTACGATGATGTAAGTAAAGCAATATCTTATCAATTCGATTACCCTTGGTAGTGACAACCGTGTAATGAATCACCCACACCTTGCGTCGGGGGCTACCGTCGTAAATCATACTTTCAAAACATCGAAGCTTGTCGAACACATTCCATTACATATTACACAGCCTTGAAAAATCTGAACCGCTGCTGTTAGTGGACTGACGATGATGCAGATGGCAGAGTGAGGAATGTGGTTTCCCCTTCTAGTGCTGTTGATAAGAACACTTACTAACTACCTTACTATTCGCACGTACCTATCTATATACCTGTGTTCTGCATTCCATTCCATGTGTAGAACATATAAGGAGAAAGTCGATTTCTTTTGTTTGCTTTAATGATGAGCACACGATGAGTAATTATACGCGTCGTCACCACCTTGTATGATCGGTATCGCCAACAGGCAATAATGTGTTATTGTTTACATCTTCTTCTTCTTCAATTTACTGAACGGCACGTTCTTATCGCGTGTTATGTCGCTATATAAAATTGGTTCGTATTCTGCGAGTCGCATAGCTTTGACTGACTTAAGAGTAGTTTTGATTTTGTCATGCTTGTCGACGACAATCCAGGGGCCTCATCGCGCCTCGACGCTTGTATGTCGTTTCGACTTGCGAAATGAGACCCCAGAACATCATCGATAATTATTGCGTCACATCACATAACTCAATTTGCAGAATAATTGCGTCTGTCGTGTTAGCTATTATGGACGTACAAATCAATAATGCACCTAATGAAGCATTGTTCTGATCGAAGATACGGTATTGTACGGTTTTGCAGTTTTTACGTGGGTAGGAGACAGGTACAATGGCCTCACGTTTTTACCTCTGTCCGGATGTGCGTTGACGTTGGCGTTGTAGGCCGTGCGGTTATTGTGAATGAACCTCGGAAGGTTTGAGCGGAGACAGAGTTGCGTGATGTGATTCATATAGTAGGGTGCTTCAGTGCTTCTCATCGAAAAAAAAAAAAAACAGTTTGCTAGTTCAAATCATAACCCAACAAAATGAGCCTGTGCAAAAGATTTGTAACATGGATTTAGTTGGCCAAATGCTGTTAAAATTGAATTTGTTTGTGGTTTGTTATGGTTATTTTGGTAGCAACTAAAGAAAGTAAAAAAATCGGAAGAATTGGAAAATAGGTTAAATTGTCATGGCAATCACATATTTAAATTTTGGCATTTTTACTAGGGTAAGTGAACCAGGTTTTTGCCCACTGGGCTCCGTAATTTGCCCTATCTTAATTTTAATTTTGTTTCATTTTTTTTATTCAAATTTATGTTCATGCTGGATTATAATATATCAAGCTGAACATTGCATTAGGTCATAAGTAACATTGATCGATTCTCTTCGTCGACTTTCTCTTTCGTTAATAACTTTGATCACATAACCGTTTCTTGATGTATTTGTCATATTGGATGCTAGATAAAAGCTTCTTTTATCGATCTGTCTGCTGAAAATACCCGGGAATGTCTTTACATGGCCGTGGGGATGCAACGAGAAAGTCGACGAAGAGAATCTGTCAATGTTACTTAGGACGTAATACATTGTTCAGCTTGATATATTTTGTCATATGCTTACGCGAATGAAAACATGAAAATTTATTTCAAATATTAGTTAGGGCCAAAAACTGGAGCACTAGTGCCATGACTGTAATAAGTTTTAGAGCGATATTAGTGAATTTAGTAGTAAAAATATAAAAAATAGTAATTCGCTAAAATATCCATTCAAAGTGTATACATTTCGTGCAACCTCTAAAGTGCCCCTCTTGGCAGTAAGGAGTTGTCAAAATCTGGATAAACCTAAACCAGTGTTGTTATGATGAGTAGAATTTACCCAGGTTCTAATCGCATATTTCTCAAATTTGGAATGGCGCTGGTGTGAAGGGGAGATTTTTGCTCTGTCTACATATCCTAAAATACCCTGAACTTCGAAAATCTTTTTAATTCTTAACTTTTAAGGTATACATTAGCGCATTTCTGGACAATGTTTGTTGTTGGTTGAGAACCAATTTACAAAACTCATTCAAAAGGTTAAGCATTCGATACGATATCCCTACTTGGGGATTGCAATATAGAATGTCTTTTCGAAAACTCATTGATTGATAGAGCCTAGAGGAGCCAGTCGGATGAGGTTATGTTTGAAATAGAGCTTCTGCAGTGGGACTAGGCTTTTCATATCTATCAAAATGGGTTGAGTTTACCCAGATGGAAAACGTCAACATCTAAGTGTACTTTACTCAGTTTCCCTCAAACGTATGTTTACGGGGGGTAACATTTTATGTTTTATGAAGTTATACAAAGCTACTATAAAACAAATATTCATAAAACCCTGGTCAGGACTACTTTGCCATTGATGCATCCACCAAAACCTGATTAAGACTAGAATCTGTCTAGTTGGCCCATCCTGTAGAAGGTTCTGAAGGGTATATTTTCGAAGCTTTTCAAGATTGATTTATTGCAAAAAGTTTGTATGACGAACGTATTGAGAACCATCCCGTAACCATAATAAAAGCTATTTGGCAACAATAAAAACCTTTTTAAAGCCATTTCCCTAGCCGCTTGCTGAATCCACTAGAAAAATCAGCAATCAAGATAGAAAAGGATTCATAAATACCATCGGATCTTATCAAAATAATTGAAATATAAACTGATCATATAAAAATCCTATTAAATTTCCAAAAGTATTAAAATTGTGAGCATGAGCATGAGCATGTTTGACCGCCCACGGTTGCTACTCTGTTATTGCCAGACCAGCTGTAATTACACAGAGAACCAATAGACGATGCTTGGGACTAGCAATCATCCTCAATGTGTAAAAACTGGTGATCTCAAACTAGGCAATACCAGCGCCGGCCGCGCCCGAACACAGGTCAAGAAAGGAAGGGGTAGGAATGTGTTGACGTGACACTCGCTTTGATGGAAGCCGAGAACACCTCTGCACTTCCACGAGGAATCACTGGGATATTGGGTAATAGGGTTGGGTTTGCAGCAGGGTTCGTTTTGGTAAACGATAAGCTGAATTGATGTCCTAACCATCATATAACGCGAAGGAGCTTGGGATTGAACCCACGGTCTTCTGCTCAGTAAGCAAAACCGGTTGCTCTAAGGCCACCGAGCCTCTTATATTACATTATAGCGTTACTCAAGTTTTTATAACTATTCAAACCCGGCACCGACGACACCGAAAAGTTTTTACAAAATACACGATAAACAAGCGTTATTACCATACATTTTTAATATGAAAGGACCTGGGACCGTATTTTTCTGCTCAGTAAGCAAGCCACTGCAACCGACGATCTTTGAAATCCTAAAACTAAAAGCTACGAAAGAGTACTTAGGCCTTCATTAAGATCCACTTTCACGCGACGTTCAATGTTTCGATTTTCTCTTTACGCATGGTTCAGGCAATCATAACAAGCTATGACCGACGTGACGATTGTTTAAGACCTGGTTAAACAAGCTATTCAAATGAAATTACGTTCTCGAATTTCACTTGGCATGTAATGAACAACAGAAATACGCGATAATTCATATTTTCAGCGGTTGATGGTTAATTTTAAATATACTAACGGTACTGCCTACGACTACGACAGCGATTACGACAGCGACTACGACGGCGCCTACGACAACGACAACAGCGAATTTGTAACTTACCATTTGTCTACGATAAACACCTTTGCCTAGGCACTTTTCTAATTTTCCATTTTTCTCAACAAAAATATTCCTGAACACCAACAGGATCTTTGCAAAAACGGTACATAATAAAAAATTTCAACTGTAGATTAAGTTTTCGAGCATCTCAGATGAATCAATTTCTCAGGAAAAGTAAAAAAGTGTTCCGCTTCCTATGTCTAAAGGCAAAAATTTCTGCTAACAACACTCTTTTTGACGTTCTCCTATTCACCACCAGAGGTTGAATCGATCGTTTAGTTCCCATTAAAAAGCCCTATAATAATTACCTTTGTTGTAATACTTCCTGCATTGCCATGGTCATCTGGGAGGAGGGTCGCATCTAGTGCTTTCCCCAGGAACCGTTCACGGCCACCAGCTTGGGCGTATCCAGCGAGACATCCTTCAGCTTACTCACATCTCCGACACTCAATGCAAATCGCAGGCACACTTACGCTAGTTACAAAAAAAGAACACACCCGTGCAAAAAAACGGATCCAATAAACATCACCCCCCTAATACACAAATACCATAGACGAACTGTATCCCGGATGGATAAACTATCCCAAATTTCTAAATTTCCAAATTTCCAAATTTCCGAAATTCTAAATTTCCAAAATTATTAAAATTGTTCTCATAAAGTGGCCTAGTTGTAGCGTAGGTGTCATATTAAATCTTATGTGAAATGTACTTGAAAACATCGAAAAAAATAAGTCCGCCCTCGGAAAACGTCGATCTTACTTATTATTTTTAATTGAGAAAAAAAAAATTCTTTAGATTGATCGCTAAGCTCAGCCGAAATATTTTTTTATGATTATCGTATTTCAAATATCTGCTCATTGCTAAATTGACCAAACTAAAGTTATATCCAAGGAAATACACATTGAAAACGAAGATTGTAAAAATCAAACAAAATAATTGCAATTGGTTGGTTTTCATTTGTGAAAAAGCTGTTTTGCTTTAATGAAATCCCTAACAAATTCATAAGGTTTTAAAATGGCTTTTATGAAGAAACTGGCTGACTGAATTGTATTTATCTAAAGCCATTTTGCTTGATCCTAACCCGTTCAGATTTATGGCAGCAGTTATGGAGGCAAAGTTGCCTGCAAAAAGTTAAACGTCAAAGTTTGTTTATCTTTCGATAGTTGCCTTGTGCGATCATTGCAACGAGGTTTTACCAACAATCAATACGAAACTAACGATTTTAAATTGGCTCACCACTTTAGTAGCCTATTGGTCCCAAGCAAACGATTAACGTACCCTATTCTAGTTGAAATTCTATTACTACACTATGTTTGTTTTGATTCGCT